CACTGGTTTACTATGGTATCTTCTGTTGTAGCAAAAGAGCAAACAAGGAGATTTTTGATGTTCATTTCTTAGACAAAAAAAAAACAACAACAAAAAACCACCTCATTTCTGGCTAGTTCCCCTAGATGAAAATTTTAGGGAAAAAGTCCCTTACAGACGTAGTTGCAGTGTAGGCTGCAGCTCTGGCTATGACAGACCCACAAACTGCAGAGGAAGATTTTAACCTCACAAGGGCTTCTGCCCCCAAAGTGCTCCCCAAAAGAGCTGTGATTCAGCTTCTGCTTTGTAGAGTTAATTAAAAATCTTGAAGGAGACCTGAAAACATCTCATCAAAGATATTATTACTACTGTTACTGTTATTATTACCATTAGTACTATAGAATGAATTATCTCAAGTTATATTCAAGGTTCCCAAGTTTCAGTGCTGTTTGAGTATAGGCCTAATTAATATGATGAAACATGATCAGCACTTTCATAAATTCTGAAATGTTGCTTGTCCTCGATCACCAGCTGAAGGGTACTGTAAGTAAAATGAATTATGTTTATCACTGGATGTGGTTAGGAGCCTCATACTAGACATCAGCTAAAGTCTGAACCACAACTTTGTCACAACACTTTATTAACTTCTTTCTTGGACTTCATATACCATATGGTTTTAACACGTATTTCCTTATTACCCACCACCAAAGATGTTATTACAAGACATGTTGTGAGTGAGTGGCCTATAAAAGTAAATTTAATAACACTTATTTGCTGGTCATTCCAAGKGGCAACTCTAAAGTATCAGAGTTTTTAAATATAGGACACACCACAGTGAGTAACTTTATGAGATTTTATTTTGATTGATTTGGTCCCTGGAACATTGCTTTTTGTCTCTATATTGTATCSATTTTATTGATTCTCACATCCTCCCAGCTGTATTTTAATTCCCATACTGGAAGTGTAAGTGGACTTAAAGGGCAGGTGTCATTTCCTTGCTAATGAAAATAACAGGTGGGCAGACAGAAAAAAAGAAAGAAAGCAGTGCCTTTAAAACAATAGTTGGTCTACAGTTATTTCAGCCTTCACTACCTTTTAAACTGGGAAATAGTCTGAAAAGATAAGTATGAATGTGTACAAAAGATAAGTTTGTATGAAACAAACAGCAATATTCTGCTATCACAGTGCTCTAGAAATTTAGAGTTTCATATTTTTATATGTAACCACCTCCAACTGCTTATACTACTGCTGCTTTGTCAAGCTAATTATCTGGAATTTTAACCACAGCCTTTGACTTGTCATTGTATGATACTGTAGTTAAACTGCTAGTTATACATAAACTAGCTAAATTAAGGCATAAAGATATATGCAACCAAGCTGCAATAAGCGAAATGGAAAATTAAGTCAAAAACTGGAAAGTTCCATAGGCAGTCGTATTGAAGTTGCATTTAGAATTAAAATAATAAAAATTCTCTACACAGRAACATTTAGTGCAGAAATCAATTAAAATAAAATGGGCATTGTTTAAAAAAAATCCTGTCATTTGGGTTACTTTGGCATACTTCATAAAGACTATAATTTACATAAAGAACTGTGAGAGGCATCTGATCATCATCAGTTCTAYAGCCTAATGTTTAGGGCTTTTCTGGAAGTAAAAGGTAAGTACAATTCCAAATTGCTTGTCTGGGTTTCTCTGTTCCATGGTAATTGCTGCCACTGCTGATCAGTTCAAAATTTGAATATTTTACATACACAGTCACAATTATATTTAGGTGTTACACATATATAGATTGAGTTCAAGACTCTCTCACCCAATTAAGCACCACAGGGGATGTAATTATTTCTCTGTTTACTGTCTGAATCCTAGTCAGTCTGAAGTGATGAACTGTTCAGGGTAGTGCCAAATAAGATCACTAAGCATATGAAGAAATTTAAAATCTTACGAAACTTCATTTTCGATTTCTATTTCAGATTTAACCTAAAATAAAGGTCCTTCATGGGTCCTGAACTTAAATGCTGCCTTTGTCCCTGAATCCTTCTTTTATATGTAGCTTTAAATCTGTAGAGGGGGGAAAAAACTGATAAAAGATGAGATTCAAGGAGTGAAGGGGATGCCAGAGGTTGTGACATAGGTGGAGAAACTAGAGCTAGGATCAGAGCAGAAAATGAGAGAAGCTTGAGAGTTCTATACAAGCAATTTTCTCATAGGTGCAGRGTTTCTTTGGATGTTCAGTGTTACAGGGTGTGCAATTTTTGAATCTGTGCATTGACTTTATAGGACTTAAACAAGCTTCTTGGATATAAAGAAATCTCTGAGAGATTTGATTTGCCARATTCCAACAGAGATGAGGATTAGTGTTTGTACTGTAGCCCACCACAAAATATTGCTGTTGGTTTCTTCACTTGTCTTCCGAAATTTTTCTTCACGCTCCTAGACAATAAAGGAAAARCATAATTATTACCTTTTGGGATCTGTGTGTTTCATGGCAACTAGAAAGGCATCCCCCTTCTGTGTAATGGTAAATAAAAAACTTTTTCCATGTGGATAAAAATRAAGGTCTGTACTTATGGTAGATATCCTAACAAATCAAAACTGAGAAGCAGACACACTGCATCCTGAAGCAGAAAAGCAAACAGAGCTTCCCTTGTTCACAAATATATTGTGCTGAATATGTCCCATTAGTACAGATTTTAACCTGTTTAGGGTTACAGTCATTTCCATATTGCTATCAAGAGCCCTTTTGCAGTTGAATTCCTGTTTTTAGGTAACTAGTTGATATATTTCAAACACAGTCTATCTGCGTGCATACAGAAAAGTTGACTGAGTGTACGCTTGTTTGAAGGAGGGATTTAGTTCTAACTTCATGGGTATATATTAATATAAATTCAGTCATTTCCTTCCCCACTCAATAAAAGTTTATGTACACAGAGCAGCATGGAAACAGCATCACTCACAATGGTACCTGCCACCTGCTCAGCTGCTGTGGCTGACTCTGACCAAGAAAACTCTATCTGGAAAATTCTGACATAAAATAACACCTGATGCAGTAAAAGAACACCTGTTGCTATAAGCATGAGTTCACAGTGATTAATTCATTTTATGTTACTGCTTAAAGACATTTTGCAAGGTAATAGAGACTATTTTGGTTAAATATCTATAGATTTTTATGAGTTAGCTAAAAAGAACACTGCGATTGGATAAACCTCATAATAGTTTATCAATAATAAGCCTATGCACAATAATTTTAGCATTTTCTTTAGGGGTCATACATACTCTTTCATAGTCTTGTTCTTTGGTTACGTGATGAATTTGCTCAATTAGATGTTCTAGTCTGACATTAACTTCATTCATTTTGTCTTTGGYTTCAATAGCAGATTCATCCAAAAAATGTTCCCCAACTCTAATGTCCAAGTGGAAACGCTGCAAACAGAAAAACATGTTATTTAAACAATGGATAATTTCCCCTTAAGGTCATTGCAGGAAAATAGTTTTAATTGCTTGTAAAAATCCCACCTAAAATTAGAATCTGGKGGAAAATTTGAAGKGTTTCTTAATTTTATTTTTAAATTAGTTCTACAAATTTACAATCTTCACTAATGTTAGGGTATTATTTTATGCTACTATTAATTCAACCACCATTAAAATGTTTTCTTTGTCCAAAATAGTTAAAAAATAAGGACTGCTCATTATATTTCACATTTCATTCCAATATTACAGAAATTAMATTCTTTAATAGTACTGCTGAAAGCTTTTCATAAATATGTTTCTAGATTCACTCACATAACTGTTTTCTTCACATTATTGTATAAATYRATGTTRATRCWCCTCCATCTATACCAGATAAAAATYACCTTCATATCCTCAGAATCACATTCATGGTGGATAGTTAATTGTGACCAACCAACACTGTATCCCTCTTACCTCCCTAGATGATAAACTCCACACATTTTTTTTATGATTAGACCTAAATGCTTTTGCAATGTATATGATTAAATTTCCATTAATTTCTATCAATCAGTCTRTAAGAACACCTCATTATTCCAGTATAATAATCCTACTCTAGTCCTGTTATTTCTGTGTCATCTACATGTTTACAAAGTGCACAGCTAGGATGAGATTTAGCCTACCTTAACACATTTAGAAGATGTTKGTATTTAGCTGGTGATTTAACTCTTTTGCAGTCAACTGAGAAAAAAAAATCCAAACTAGAGAGTAATTCCCTCATGGTTTTGGGAAGCAGCAAATAGATAAAAAATTTCAAAACAATATTTGTGATTTTTTTTTGCTCTACCAATCAATTGGTAGAGCCATGATATCACCTCTGATGGGTTTTTTTTTTTTCTTTTCCCCAAATGTGCATTATAACCAACTTTACTGGTAGGAGACAATGACGAGTATGCTGACATACTCTACATTTGAATATCTTTCAAAAACTAAAGTGTTAATTTTTCGTTAGGAATTCAATCTAAGTTAGCAAAGACATGGAATACCTTTATGACAAGTTCTTATGTTAGTCAATCTTACATATGTCTTTTTGATCCAAATTTGGTTTTTTTACTGATCTGAATCTTTCACATTCAAAACACAATACAAGCATTAAATCTCTCTATCCTTAGTCTTGCCTCTAGAATGCTGACTGTAAATATGAGAACAGTCTTTTTATCTCTTCATCTACATAATTTGGTGTTTGTCTTCTTTAATCACTAAAAATGTTGAATTATCTGCTAGAAGTTAGACCAGGTTCTAATCCAGTTTGTAATCTCTGCTGTTTGTAAACAATTTATACTGTTACAACAAAGACTATTTAGGAAATACACCTACCAGTTTACTTCCTGCAATTACTGCAAATCTTGTGGAGTTAGACTGGAAACAGATGATGTGCTCCCCAGAGAGATAGGATGTAAAAGAAAATGTACCTTGTGGCCCATACAGTTTTGACAATAGTACCTGCAATTTAAATATATACATTGGGTTTATAATTTATAACTACCAATAAAAAAWTTAAAAAACAGTACTGTGAACTGGATGCAAAAAGGAATCAATTAAGCTTCTGATATCATTAAATTTGTCCAAGTTGCAGAATTGATTTAGTAAAAAGTAGACAATTTTAGCCCACAGAGAACATTAAAATGTTAACATTACAAATAGAATTTTGTAATGTACAAAGGCCAGTGCTCTCTAAAACATGCAAGGAAGTTTGAAAACTGAGATCTTGTCTAGGCAGAGAAATAAATTGTCCATTGCTGGAAAAGCTCAGGACCTCATGGCCATRCAGGCATCTGCTCTGCATGGGGGCTACGTTCAGCCTCATGGTGACCTTGACTTTGAGTTTTGTTTATCATCAGCCTTCCTCTCTGCTGCTCAAGTACATTGTGTACCATTTCACTTCATCAGTGAATTTTCTTTTTTCTTTTTAATTTAACTTGTTTTCTCAGTTGTCAGTTATCTTTTTAATGACACTCTTTCCCAAATGCAAAAATTGTCCATACACATCATTATCAAAAACCATAATTTCTGTTTACTTTGTTAGAAATCACAGGGTTCTTACATCTTCCAGCATCAAAATACTGAGCTAGCTGGTAGACTGTAGATTTACTTTATCCCCAGAAGCATCTTTTATTTTTAGATAGTACTGACTGCCAGTGCYAGAAGTCAAGACATGAATCCTACAGAATTATTCACAAAGCATATTTACCTCACCAGAAGGAGTTGTGACAGTCACAAACATTCCCAAACCAGGAGCAGATTCAAGAAAGTCATGTTTATGTATATCCCAGCGTTGTACTTTGTAATTCCCTGAATAAAAAACATAGACAAATCTGTTCAATAAAACATAGCTTAACATTAAACATCTTCATCACTTTTTTGGGAAAAATATAAAGATAAATCATTAAAAATTATATGTGTATTTCATGTATTCATGAATAAAGTTGCTCAGAGGCACTTTTAATGCAATAAATTTTTACTACACCAGAACATGTCCTGAAGTACTACAAAAAATGGTTAAATAACAAGAAAAACTTTCTGATTAATCCTAATGCTCTGGAAAGATCAGCCCTTAGAAGGCACACAGGGACCTCCAAAAGCACAATGTGCTGTACTGAAATCACATTTTATGGATTGTCTTTCATACTTACCATATTATTTCTTTTTTAAAAAAATCTGATTTATTTTTTACTATCCCCTTGAAATCTTACATTTACTGTCTTGTAGATTAATTTAATTTGCTTCTGATATCAGAGGTGAACTGAAACTTTAGTACATCTTGAATTGTCTCTTTTCAGACCAGCATTTATCAAAAAAGTAACTCTCCCATTCATAGGGGGAAAACCATGTTACAGAAATTCTGGTATGAATGAGTACATCAGTCAGAATGTGCAGAAGCACACATGGAAACAGCAGTTCCACARCTGTAGAATTAAAAACCATTCTTTTTCTTTGTTTAGTCAGTAGCATGCTCCAAAAACCTGCAATTCTTTGTTTGATGGATATACACAATGTTTGAGGACTTTACACCTAATCCCTACTGCGGAAAGTTACTTTCAATGTGCCCTTTTCTTTATTTTTATTTACCATACTCATCAATCACAGAATCTCCTGTTATATTTCAACTTATCTTTGTTATTGCATAGGTTAGATCATTATATAGCATTCACAGGTACCTACCAACTACCAAGGTGTCGCTGGGAAGATCTTCAATTATGCATTTCTCTTCTCTTTCTCCCATGTGAAAGTACAAAGCAAGGGAAAAAGAAAYCCAAAAGTTCATAAGAATTCCTATAAATTTGCTTTTCATGGTTTTTGTATGTCCCTGCTGTACTGCTTTTGAAGATAAATAGTTACATACAAATTGTAGCCTGTAGTGCTGTGGTTGTTCCTTGTTTGCTGCTTATCAGTGTATTTTTGAGAGAGGGAAAAAAACTGTGAGAAAAGGCAGCTGGTGGTTACACATTTATAAATAACTACAACATGTTCTGGAGAGTGAGATAACATGGAAATGACACCTTTTAAAGGCTTTCTTCTTTCCCAGCATCTAGATTTGAATTAATTTTATATACTTAAAAGAGCATGAAACTAAAAAAGCCTCTCAGGTGCTTGAGATCAGTTCCCTAGATTACTGTAGGCAACTACTTTGGCTATCTCTTTGCATAAACTGCTCAATTTTCAACTTAAATGAAGTTGTTATTTCCCATTTATTCTGGGTGATTATTCCAGAGCTTCACTTGTCTTTTTTTAAGAAATCCTTTAATTTCCATCCTAAATCATTGTACAAATGTGTGCAGYTGTATAAAACCCACAGGCACTACATAAAAGAAGAGCTATAAAGAAGCCAAAGGAACCTGAACAATGAAATTATCTGAAACATTAATGAATATGATACTGCAGGGGAAAAATAACAACATTAACACTTTCAGAATAAGATTTTTGAATATGTCTGTTTCTCAAATACTGCSTAATATTCTCTGAAGATAATGATAGTGTAAATCAAATGATGATTGAGGATTTTATTTTTGTCTTTTGTGCTAATTTAGACTAGTGCATAGGTCTGATGACAAGTTTATTTGTCACTCAAATGTTCCTTGTCCTATGAACTGAGATCAGTGGGTCTGAAAGGTTGGCCTCAATGTCAGAGAATATGTGGTCATTTTCCAGCAGGGAGGACCCACCAATGRGATTATTTCCAGTTGGGAGGACGCATTTTTCCTCATAAAATTCATGTCATCCCAATTGCATGAGAACACATATTTTTGTAGTATCAAGAGGAGTGGACAGCARCTCATCTTCAGTTCCTGTAACCTGACTTTTTTGCTGCTACACTTTACTATTAATTGTGTCTTCCATTCTGCAAGAATATCTGCCAAGGCATCRAAGTTGATTCTTTCTATAAAATATTCTTGAAATAAATTATCTTTACAAATCCATCTCAAGCTTMCTCCCAAAGTGCTTTCTGAGATTAGTTTAACGCAGGAATTAATTTGCCTTTTTCCCTCCCTAAACCTCATGTATTTAGGACCACAGCATCTTGGATGCCAACCATCTGTAACACAAGATAYGAGGGAAAAGMGAGGAAGAGCTTCTCCGTGTTTCTTCCCRGTCCCAAAATTTTAAAGASRATTCCAAGACTRTTTAAAYTAGAAGCTATAAAGTCCTAGCAATATCTGYACAGAGATCATGTACCTCATCAGTTTAATCAAATATTGTAAGAACTGTGCTCCATCACTAGAGTGTGTTTCACTCACTGTATCCTCAGTCTTGTCAAGTAATGTCTCCATCCCTGTGGTTTGCAAAGGGAATACCTGGAATTGTGTTTATGGCCAAACTACTTACAGCCACAGGGGCATCCTTWAAGAAGATCGTATTTACTGAGGTCTCCTGAAGTTACAGCTTAAAAAAAAATCCCATATCCAGGTAACTGGCTGGATAGGAAACTTCTCTTTTTGAAGGAAGCTGCAGTGAATATTCATATATGTAAACACTCTAAAATAGCAAAGTTATATATCACTGACTGGGGTTTTCTGAAGTGTGTTGGCCTGTTACACATTCACTTCCCTTTCTATTTCACCTCCTTACCTCATCCTTTCTCTTTCAGTGTCCTTTGAAAAACTTCTGGCTCCAGGAGCTTGAGGGAACAGTGGGACTCCTCCAGTCAAACTGTATCTTGTGGGACTGGAATCCGAGATTCAGATCATGTATACAATTGTAAATGCAGATGTTTTTTACTGGGCCTGGCCCTTTATTTGTTCTGGGCATGCGAAGAAGCAAAACTGTAGTGTTTAGTGAACTTCCAGGACTGTACCTCTGAGAATATCTTGTGTATCTTTTGTTTTTCCTAAGGCRGAATTTAGAATTGCATCTGATATCTGCCCAAAAACTTTATTGAGCTTGATTTATCACTCAACAATCTGAACTATCCTCTGAGAATATTTAGATATATATTTCAATATATGCTTATGTTTTCTGATATGATGATAAATGTATAAACATGTAATAAATAAGTGCACAAGAAAACACAGAACTGTTAAAACTAATATAAAAATGAGAAAGAAAAATATTGATGATTAACTAAACCCAAAATAGTTTAGTAATACTATTCTCCCTGTAGAGTGGAAACAGGGAATTGAAAAAAAAAACAAAAAACCACAAAACAGGTGTGTTTCACACAGGAGTGAAACAATTTTGAACAACAGACAACAGTGGGTATCTGAAGAAGGAGCTAAGTGCAGAAATTCCTACACTCAACTCCAACAATTGTATGTTTATCAGCATTTTCAGGACCAGTGAAGTCTAGTCTGACAAGTTCCAAATTTATTTGGGTCTTTGCAAGATTTATCTCCTGGAAAAAAATATAGAGAAATGTTTAAATGTTTCACCTCTGTGGAGAATACAGTGTGCTCCTTTTAGGACATGAGAAATTTCCTTGTGTTTGCCATATTCCAAAAAGAACCTAATCAAATTTACTCTCCTGTTCAATAGCTGTGCTATATATTTGTAAAATTTCAATGTGCTGTAAAAGTTTTGTGAGCTGACTTTAAACTTATTCTATTGAATAAGTTTTATTCCAAAATTCTTTTCATGATTGRTAGCCACAACTCTTCATAAGCCATATGTTGCATTAATTTTATAACATTACTTGCAGTCAAAAACAGTTTCTGATGTGTTTGTTATTGTTGTGCATACCTTAATTTAGATAATACATATACAAATGGCAGCAAACACATATAAAGAAACCTGGACAAATTTACTGCATATGTAAGGTTAATGATATAATTTATATTATGGTCAACAGCACTAAATTTGACATAGTTGTTTTGTGAGGGACACACACCAACAATCAGTTTTTGAATCTCAACTAACACTTTTAATTCAGCTCAGAGATTTTTTACTAGTATCCACACTTCTGATTTTATTTTCCTAGTAATTTTGTTGGCCAAGTGTTCTCATGGCAGTTATTCTCACTTTTGAGAAAAAAAACAAAACAAAACAAAACAAAACAAAAAAGACATTTTCAGATATTCATAAGTCTCAAGATGAGTTTACTCAGTTCCATTATTGCCTTAACCACACTGCAAACATCTGGTCACTCTGACATACATAAGTAATTTTTGAAGAAATACATGTTAAGCAAGTTTAGAAAGACGACAAAAATGCCAATAAATTATAAAAACATAATTTAGAGGRAAAACTATTTTCTAGGTATAAATAGCTGCAGATACACAAATTACAATACTTAAGGTTATTAGTTTAGATTTTGCGATTGRAAGGTTTTTAGTGTGAAGTAAAAATGTGAAGTACAATCTTTCCAAATGTCTTCTTTTCTGCCACTAGAGGGTACTCCAAGAACTTAAAGTGTGTTTAGAGGAAGGATTTATTCGGGGGTTTTTGGTCTGTAAATGATTCAGTACTGATTGTCATASTAAACCTTAGGAATTTAACCCCCCAAAACCTTGCTATTTAATAAAAACTTTCAAAACCACTCTAATACAGCYTTTCAGCAAAATAGTGCAGCATATCAAAATGATAAAAAACATTGATTGACATGTAGTTTAGATTTAAACTTATCCTACTTAAATTATCTTAATTATTATCTTTATTTCAGACACAATTTTCTGGTTCACAYCCTGTTTCTTCATCCAGATTTGGACAAGGCATTCCATTATTGGCAGGCTGAAGAAGTACAAAACGAGTTCTGATCTTGGTCCCTGTTTGTCTGCAAACCCCTCTGCAGAGACCCCAGGAMGACCATTGTGAAACCTCACAGTCCAGAGGTGTTTCTGCAATACACACAGCGAAAAGGTAACTTTACATGAAATTSTACTTAAGGCAAATACACAGTTGGAAAAGCATTCAGGAAGGATCATCAAACAGCATCTTTTCTTATACAAAATATATGTGATATTAATAAAATCCATATGTTGTCTCATAAATGTAAAAAAAAAAGCCTGGTTTCAGCTCCTAAACTCATCGACTCTGGTATTATTGCTATTGCAGTCTACAGCCTGTCTGAGCTATTATGTCAGTACTGAAGTATATTATCTCTTGAATGAAAATACAGAATTCCTATAAAAGAAAACTATGCTTAAAATGATTGCACTCAAAAGATTGAATTAAAAAATGTTTACTGTCAATTTTTATAACTCATCTTCCTTTTTATGGATTACTAAAAAACTTATTAAAGCTTTTCTCTGGCTTATTTAGGTATCCTTATATTTCTTTGCTATTGTTCCTATAGTTGTTCATATCAGATTCCATTTTATTTTTGTTCCAATTTGCCTCAGAAATATAGAAAATTCCATATTTTATCATTAAATCATCTTTCTTTTTTTTGGTGCATACATTACTCTTCCCTTTGCCAGTAAGGATATTCTGTCACTAGAAAATTTCTAATGCTGAAAGGATTTTCAATATCGTTTTTATTTGCTGCAAGACAAGAAGTTAGAAACTCCAAAGTACTATCCATAGTATATGCTTCTACCTAAAATATATATCACAAAAAGGTGGTAAGTATTCCTTAGCAGGCAAAATTAAAATACTACTTTTCACAGGAAATTGCATCAAAACGGCCTGTTACAGCATTTGTGGGTAAAACTGTGGCATCTTTAAATACCACACTGAATGTGTGACACCTGGTATAAATTTCTGGTATTACAGTGAACTCACCACTTCTGTTGTCATCACTCATTCCTATGTTTTTAAAGGGAATGAGAGACACAGCTTGACCTCTGGTAATTAAATCTGCCCTGTTGGTTATAAAATAAGTTTTTTAAAAGACTGATTTACTGGTTAATATACAATAAAGTGAGGACTTGTGATTAAAAATTATTTTTKAAATATCATACTTTAAATGCATTGTTTTAAATTTATACCCTGAAGAGGGCCAAATGTTCCTTTCAAATGTTGTGGGAAAGACATAAAGGGTAACACTCACTTGGAATCTGTCTTGTTTTCTAAAGGAAATACATTAAAACACTATGAGTTGATACATACATTTATTAAAATATAAATAATCTATTAATAGTGTAGAGAATGTGYTTTATTTTAGTGGTTGTGGGGTGACCTGCACAGTGCTGGAGATGTAATCTTCAGGCATTCTGGAGAAGCTCTGGGAACATGGCAACTCTTTTGGGAATTCATTGCTCCCTTGGAACAAATACTGTGTTAGTTATGTATTTGTTAATCCAGAGATTTGAAAATCACCCTTATGATTGACTTGAGTCAGTAGTTTGCATGTCTTCCTACATATTCAAGATTATTAGCTAATCTTTTTGAGAAAATAAAAATGAGAAAGAACTTTATTTTTGTTGTCAGGATTTATGTTTCTATTAAAAATATGTCCAAATCAATTGAATGAYATAATCTTTTATTGCACAGAACTGCCAAAGTCTGACCCAGAAAGAGACAACAATAAAGTTCTTGGCTTCATTATCATGTAAAACCTTAAGGATGAATATTTACTTCAAAGTTTCAAAGAGTTTGAGAACTCTGATTCTGATCAAGTGTCATTTGTTTCTCATAAAATTCACTGATCTACACTGATACAAAGGCTTGGGTAGCTCTTACTGTGGACATAACCCAATCCTTTGAACCATAGCTCAAATATGCAATTCCTTACTTATTCTTTCAGGAATTCTCTTTTATGTCAACTGGCTTGTTTTATTTCCCATTTGTGAGYCTGGAACTCTTCCTATGTAGATAGGAGTATATTCTGCTTGATCACCTGTTTCAGCCACATCATCTGCCAGATTTCCACATATTTCTGAGTGAATGGAAATWACAGAATTGAGAACATCAACTTACTAATCACTTACCTGAGACAGAGTCTATTATTTCATTGCTTTTAGCTGGAAGATTAATAAAAGGTGCAGAAAGACCCAGCTGTTTTTTCTTTGTTTTCACCATTTTTACTTGAGCAATTGGTGGCAAAATTTTGAGTTTGGGATAATAAAATGAGTTTGCTGGGTGACTTGGAGAGGAGCAAGTGATCTGTGAAATAAAAAAGGGAATAAAGAAACTAAGAAGATAACTGTAAAACCATGTTTGTAAATCATTCTACTACTTTTTTTGGCAAATAATTGGCATATGACCAGTTTCTATGAACCTCAGTTCACATAACTATGCTGGTAGTCCCAGAATTTATATGCAGGATACTTGACTGGATACAGGTCTGTGGTGGGAGGTACTGAAAACACAGTAATGTATTAAACGATTTGACAGAAAGAACTGGATGTTATTACTAAAAAAATACACGAGTATTAAGCAATAATATTAGGTATGCTATGGCAGCTGTCATATTGATATGAGAGGCCAAAGGTGTTGTTTTCCAGCTTCTCTGTTCCCTTCCTCATCACTCATTAGCACAGTATTTGTTGCTAGAAAAACTGACCTTTAAGAAAAGATCAACTGAATGCTTACAGTATTCAAATATTTTGAATCAAAATCCTTCTTTTGCCACCACTCTKAAATGGCAAAAGCAAGGTATGAGGCATGGAGAGGATCTAAAGAGGGTCAGAGACTGAAAGCAGTGAGGTTCTCCTCTTTAGGTCCTTTCCCTCAAATGTTACAGTTTCAGGTTTCAGCAGCACTTTCAACTGAAAAYTCCTCCTTTCTTCAGTATTCACTGCTAAGAATTTTCCTGGTTAGATACACATCTGGTGATGTCAGGACTTTGGTGAGTATTTTCATTTTCCTGATGCTTTAAGAATCGTTAATTAGCATCTAAAGGATTTCTGCTTTTCCAGAAAATAATTGAAGTGTAGAGACAAGTTTTCATGAACCATTTACATTTACCCAGTAAATTTCAAAGATACAGAAGATAAACAAATGCAACAGGTTTATCAGCTGCATAATAAATCCATGTATAAACAGCAGCACTCTCAAACAGGAAATCAGTTTCACAATTATAGAATAGTTATATTTTAAAGGGAAGACTCAAAACCTATCAGTATGAAGTGCTAAACTATGTATGTGCACCTACCTCTTTAACTGTGTCCTGTGGAATAGTGGCAAAGTTTGGGGAGGAAAATGTGAATCCACTATCAGTTCCAGCATCATAYGGAAATAGATCTACTGTTACTTCATCCATCCAGTGGTCTCCATCACAGAGATTTAGGCTGTCAATGCCCACAAACCAGTCGGGGCTCGGAACAATTCGTACAACAAATGAAACCTAATGAAACAAAATGATCCATCAGGATTGCATCACTTGCTTTGGAAWCCTTCAGTCCTGCTTATAGTAATTTTAACTCAAAGTTCCTGAAATAATGTCATTATGCTCTTCTACTTTATAGAAGCTGTACAGTGCTCCCTGMAATGTGACATGCTTTTTAGTAACTCTATTTCATTATATTGCTCCTAGAAGTGAGAATTCAAATATTTAATTTGGTTGCTGGTGACATAAAATAAACTTTCAAAATGAATATGTACATTTACTTACTAAGGGATGTCTTGGATGCACTTCTAACTCAGTAGAGGTTTGTCCTGTACCACTGGTAATTGCAGGAGCAGAGAAGATTCCATGTACACTCTGAATTTTCTCTCCAGCTTCTTCTATTTCTTTCATTAATACCCATGCTTCACCCTTTTCAGCAAAATCACGTACACCATTGCTGGCATATTCATTTTTTTTCCACATGCTGTAGTCAGAACTATGAGTAACACCTATTTGAGTGAATACATGGCATGACATAAAAGTCCGGTTTAGCATGTCCCTATTTCTTCATTTTCTCTGTTTTATTTCTGAGGTTTAAAAAAATGTGTATAAAATTGAGTGAACACTAAAACATTTGGCTTATTGCTGTTTGTTTCAGCTGCGGCCAATTGAAAACAGAAGTCAATTGAAAACATTTGTACATTTYTGAAAACGTGGATACCTCAATATCTACATTTAACTCTTAATAACTTGGGCTTTTTTTTTTCACATTAATTATCTTAGTAACTATTAAGAATAAAAGATCACAGAGGTCAAKAGACTTATCTTCTCTTAAAACTATGCATACTCCACTTACCTAGCAAGGATGACCACTGTGCTGGGGGCCTATAGAGTGGATACTGCTTAGGGAATGCAGTTTGACTCCATTTCCCTATGAAGATTATCCTGTACTTAGCAAGTTCCTCTGCTGTGCAAAGAGAATCATCCCCCACAGGCAGGCTGCTGGCATAGCCCAATATTGTTACAAGTAATGTCCAGATAACTTTACAGGAATAGTCGAAAAACATCAGGTTTTCCATTCCCTTCCACACAAAAAGAAAAAAAAAGTTAGCCATATTAGTCACTCTAAACTCAAAAATTAATAGCAATTACCTAATAAAATGTAGCCTAAGTTATAACCAAAGAGAGAGCAGATACCTGAAAAACTAAAAATTGTTATGCTTCTGAAAACATTACTKTAATGCTTTCAGATTTGTTATTTCCATGCTATATAATACAAATACTGGGACAAGTGTTTCTAATGAAAATGAAAATGAAAATATCTTATCCTTGTCCATAGTWCTACCTCAGAGAAAAATCTGTTTCTGATTTTCTTTTGAAATCTGATTAGAGTCACATCTTGATTTAATTAGAGTAGCAACTGTTTCTGTGGAAAACATTAGTGGTATATTTATTCTTCTAAAGATTAAATTGCAGGTTACTTTGCCAAAAGAAATGATTTATTTTAAATTTGTGTTCTACAAAGSCTGTTTTATAGCATAACATTTAAAGTCAAATACATTTCATATTTATATAAATTACTTTGCTGTCATAATGTGAATTAAAAACATTGCAATTCCTTTAGATGGTTTAAACGGCACAGTTTTTMAAAAACAATATTTTTTGGTTTACTTACTGTCATAGGTTGTACAAATTTTGTTTTTAAATTAACGTGGTAATTGCATCAGACTGTTGAACTCCACCAATTGTTTAAAATAATAGCCTGAAAAACTGATTTTTAAATGWTTTTGTCCTTTGAGAAAACTATACAAACTTCAGTAAATCACTAATAATATATTAGTTTGTAAAAATAGCCATGAATACTCACTAAATATTCCTCTGGAGCACTGGTAGGGGGAGAGCACCTGCTTTTGCTGGCAGCTGAGTTGATCTGCAAGAGAAGACAGTAGGAGTCTTGCTATTTATGCCTGAAGAGGGTCTCTTTGGTCCAACAATTATTGCAATCTTTAGACTTTCCAGGTTTGCAAAAATCATGCCATCTTCTTGTTTGCAATCCCTTTGGATGGACTAGCAGAGGTTTCCGGTCTGTCAGCTGGTTCGGGCTCCTTATCAGAAGACTGAGATGCCGAAAAGACAAAATCCTTTTTAAAAATACCTTGAATTCTTAGTAACAGTTTGAGTTTTCTGGTGCCTTTACAGTTCTCTGCTCTTATTAATGCCTCCAAGCTATACAAATGAACTGATTCCAACACTGAAATAGTTCTAGTGAATACTCTTTAAATGAGAAACATGTTTTCTTGTAAGTTTTATTGTCTGACAGATGCTCCTTCCAAACATTTACAGAGAGCTTGCTCACTCTCACACACCATATGTATGTGTTCAAATAAAAGGGGTGAGGCAGCTAAAAATGTCAAGAGGAAAAAAAAGTTACATTTCCTAATTGAACAGACTCACACAGACTGTGTCTCCTGCAAATATGAATTAATTTAAAGTAGTACAGTGTATATTTTTGTGTTGTACAGTACTGTATGCTGGATGATGAAAGGGCTCTGTAACATTGTGGTTTCTTTGGAAAGAGTGGTTTTGGGAAGCTCAGAGATTTTTCTTAGCTGTCTTCAGAGTAAAAAACCYCAAATAAAAATCTCATTATTACAGTTAAATCATACATCCTCTGTAGCACAGTACATATATCTGCATCACTAAAACTGTTTAAATTGTTTATGAAAATATATGCATTATACAGTGACCTAATTAAAAAGTAATGTTTAATCTTTATTTTATTTTCCCCACCACCCTTCAAATAAGGGAAAACAAAGGGCTTTGTGCCAAACCTGTAAGGTTAACAAATGCTCTTGTGGCTGGTCAGCAAAGGAAATTCAAAATTTTACAGTGAACTATGAAAACAATATTTCATAGAGTTTTCTTTAGAAATTGTAAGTAATGTCATTTAAGTACTTCCACAGATCTCTAACATGATGGTTTAGCATATTTGAAAAAACCCAAACAAATCCAGTTATTTTCCAGATGCAGCTCCCAGGCCATCATAGGTTAAGGACACACTGCACAGCTTCACTGACACACTCTTGTCCACCAWACATGTCTGAGCTTTGTGGCACTTTAACTGGAAACTTCCCTCCCACCCYGTGGTAAATCCAAGCCAGGAGGTGAATAAAACTGGGATATCTGGATGGAATTTCCATCAATTATTCTGCTGACAAAATGGAATCTATTGCAAGTTTCAACATAGATGGATACAGCACCTAGAGTCACAATTCTTCTATATCAGGATAGATACAGGAATACTGCAGCAAGTTAAGCCATGTAGGCATGGACACCTCCTTTATACCAAGGTCTCTTCCTCCATCCTGTATTAATRGCACATTTTTCAATGATTTTTGTTTCAGGAGCCAAACTCCACTAAGAAAAAGAGCAAAGAGCCTTCATGGATAGTTTTATACAAGTACTTCCAGTGTTTGTTGAAGGATGATACTTGAATTACATCCAGCTCACTCCCTCCTACGCACAGAATTCCAGATCCACAGRTTTCTTAGAGATTTTAATTTAATGACATCCAGCCCATGCAGCTCTCTAGAAGTACACAAATGTCCCACAAGTTTAAAAGTGTGCTGCTCCGAGCATTGTTAAAACTACTCAAGGCTTGCATATTTATTATTAAATAGCTTTTAACTTCAGTAGGTTTTATTGTTCACCATCACAGTTACTGATCCAGTGAACTTCACATACTGAAACATATTGTGGCACTGCTGGGACAACACKTCAAATGAGAACAAAGAAACTAGATGTGGGTCTGGCACAGAAATATTTAATATATCAGACTAGCCTTTTCCTTTCGAAGATAAATTGCTGGCAAAAGGCACATCAGCAGACTCGATTATTCTGGTTCCATGACTACGTGTTATGAATGTACCCAGGAACTGGACAATACATGCAAGCTGCATAATTTGGCACTGGACCTTTCCCTATTTACAGTGAGGGCTTTACCATGACAGATTTCTCAGGATTAAATTCTTCAGGACCTAGAGCCTCATTCTTATCTTCGTTGAATTCATAATGAAATCATCTGACAAAATATTGTAAAGTTATTTAATTATCTTGTCTCCCTACTCTCTNAAAACAACTGACAACAATTTTAATTCAAAATAAAAATTCTGGTCTTTGCCCCAAAAGCGGAATACTTGAAAACAGAAATAGGTAAAAGATTATGCTTGAGACAAATGATCTTCTTGAAACCCCGTAAGCTACCTTATCCAGTCTGATTTAGGAGACCTTTCACCTTGGATAGCTCATCTTTGTCATCATTAAAGCATCTTATGTACTTAACAAGGAAGTACAGCCTTTGACACTGCACTACAGCTGAAATAAAGCGTGTGGGGAACAACTGCGCATGGAAGACAGAAAGCAACAGGACAGAACAGACAACAGATCAAAAAAATCAAAAACCAAACCCCTGCTCTCAAAAACTGCTTCAAAAGAATTTTAGTTACAGAAAAATAGTCTTGATGTCCCTTCCCCCAGCCATCCTGAAAGCAAGAAGTGTTGCTAAGATTACTGTGCCCAGCCTTGACAGCACAGTCTCCAGGGACTTTGCTTTTCAGCACCCCCTTTGAAAGCTTTGTCTGCATGAGGGCCATCACAGCTCCCACAAGTATCAGGTAACGGAGGGAAGAACTGATGGATATGGGAAGGGGGTGGAGTGAGAGAGAAGCATTGTAAAACAAAGGCTAATATCAGCCTTTTTGGAAGGGCAAGGAAAGGGAAGCCGCACTATCCACCCTGTGTCACTAATACAGATGCTGGAAGCTGCCAATGTGCTCTGTAGCACTCCAGCAATAATAATCATAAGCATAAACTGACTGAAGTGACTCCATGGGTTGGAAAGATGCCAGCTATTACATCTAAGCCACCTTTATCTTCAATCCTAACTTGAGAACAAGACCCATTAAAACATCTCCTCCTCCAGCTCTACCCCGAGATATTATTATCCAGGCTGTATCTTTCAAAATTGCCATTTAGCCAGTCATATCCAAACTTTCACAATGATTAAAACCAAAACAAAACACCTCCTCTCCAGAAAAAAAAAAGAAATGCTGAGAAAAAATAAGCATAAATATGACTTGCAAAGTAAAATATAGAATAATAACGACAGATAAGGCAATAAATGTAACATCTTTCTGGAGAGTGGAACAGTAATAGAACAAATAAAAATTCCGTCAAGAGTTTTGATGTTTTGCCATGGCAGCTGTGCAATGCAAAGTTTATTTCTCCTTATTTGTGTCCACACTCAGCCACAGGCTGCTCATTTTTGGTCTGCAACCTCTCTGTAATAGAGACCAAACTAGAGCTCTGAGAGTGAGTTGCTACAAGGTGCAAGGGGCTAAGGCAGACCTCAGATCTCTGAACAGGAGAGGAAACAAAAAAGGAGTGGGGGAAGGGAAAAAAAAAAAAAAAAAAAGAGAAGAAATGTGCAGAGTAATGTCAGAAAATCCTAACTCGAAGACTCACTGTCTTATTTCTTTAAACAGAAGCTGTGCTAAACATAATCAGTCTCTGGCATTGTGAAGGACATCAAAACACCAAATGTGCCTCTTAGATGAGAAGGAAAAGAAAGAACAGAAAAAAAGCAAATTTCCACTCAATGGATTACATTCATGGCTGGGAACCACAGATGCCAAATTTCTGTGGGCCAGCAGTAGGAGAAAAAAATTCCTAAGCATAGGAATCAACCTATGCTTACATTCCTTCTTCAGTTTTTATGCCCCATTAGGAAGCTGYTGAAAACTCATGGAAAATTGTAAGAAAGATTTCCCATTTAGTAACAAATTTGCCTGCATTATAAATGCATTTTTTCTTTCTTTTTTTTTTTTAGTAAAACAGCTTTTGTTTTTCAACTTTGTGTCTCTTCAGGTACATCTATTTTCTATCCATGTATATACCTCTACAGACCCTGAATGCTGGAGGGTTTGGTCATACAAAGCTTGTTTTATTGAAGCACCAGTGCCAAAGTGTGCCTTGGGTTAAATTTTACTTCCAGAAGTGTGCAACTTCTGCTGTTTCTTGTCAATGTGACAACAGTTTTACAGTTCCTGCAGTCTTTCCCAAGATTCAGAGCACGAAAGCTGGAAAGTATAAAATAAAAATGGTGTCCAGATACTTCCGTGTCTTAAATATCAGTCCTAACTCTGTCTGGAATATTTTGTTTTTTCTAACAGAAAATAATTTTTAAAATGAGAAAACAACAACAAAACAACTTTAAAATATAGCAGTATCATCAATATCATGTTGGCTCTGGAATAATTTACACTGTACGAAAACATTTAAATGAGCACATTCAGACTATCACACAGGAATRTACCACATTAAAATCATGTAAATTCCATTTTGATTAGTCAGAGAATAATTTAGCCCTTTTTCTGGCAAGCAACCAGATTACCATGATTAGTTACGACTTTTCTATTAAACTGAAAGGTTAAGAGCAAGGAAAGGAAAATTTGCCAAAATGATTGAGCTGAAGTTAGTTTGCCCACCTTTACTCAAAACAGAAGCTCCAAAAATTTTGYATTTATATTCCTGATGTGTTACCACACATTTCAGTTTTGCTAAAACTGTTTCCATTCCACTGATAAGGAGTATATGTGCAATTTTGATATTCACAGGCTGCTTAACATGCTTATGACTAGCTAGAATCTCTTTGTCTACCAAGAAAAACATAACATTGTATTACTTAAGAAGGATTATACAGCCATATTTTCTCTCCTGTAGTTACCATGGAGACACATACAATTATGGACACTCAGCAATGCCTGAGGTTTACATTCAGTCAAAGCCCTGTGAGCTCTAAGTTGTAAAATATCAGGTCCAGAGTGACAAGCAGCAGAATATTTTATGATGGACAAATTGTGGTGTTGATTTTGTAGCTTTTACAAATGAAAAAATTTATGTAGGAGAGTAAAATATTCCTAATATTGGATGGTACAACAGTAGTGAAGGCAGCTTTAATCTCTCTTAATCTTTTGGGATAAAAATTTAATTTGTAGATTAAAGTACCTAAAGTAAGTACAAACATACAAACTAAATATGTACACTGCCACTATATGTAATGAAAATCCAATTATTTTAGGTGATAGAATCTTGATAAATATTCAGCTCATCCTTTAATCCATACCAATATTTGACCAAATTAATAACTAGTGAGWAGCTCTCTTGTCTCCAGTAACTTTATTGATAAGCTCTCCATTGATCCTGGTGCTCATGGAAACATCTAAGTAACAGATTCAGGCATCTTTATCTTATTCGAGAGTCACTGAGAATTCAGGCCAATATGAGGAAAAGGATAAGGAAAAATAGCAGCCTTCTTGACCAAAATGACACTCATCAGCATCAAAAACCTTTTCTGTCATCCGCATTCTTCTGTCACTTGTATTTAAATACTTTCTGGTA